GGCGTGTGTGAGAATGAGGTTGATGATATCAAACGAACACTGGATAAAGGAAAACTAGAAGAGGAAATAATCCATGGAAGTGATTATGCTTGGGGGGAAAGGGAGCAGGTTACTAATTCAGAAACCAATGTCATGGTCAAGAGGCTGGAATCTGTGACAGCATTTGATGTGCAACCCTTAAACAGCAACGAAACAAACAATGGGAATGAAGATTCAACTACACAGATGGATGACGACGACTCTTCTCAGCAGGATGCTAAGCTGAACCTCTCTGATTCAAATAGTCAGGTGTCTGAGATTAGTGAAAGTGGTGCGTCTGTGGTACCTTTGGGTGGGTCAAGTGCTCAAAATTGTGAAATCCCGACTGAATTCAGGAAGTCAGAGATGCAACTTGAAAATGATGGCTCGAAACCCCTTCACGTGGATGCGAAGCTCAACTCTGCTGATATAAACTATCAGGTATCTGAGGTCAACTCTGAGTTAAGGGTTCAAGTAATTTCTGATTCTGTTTGTACTGAATCTGTCTCCCTTACTGACAAAAATGAATTAAAGGTTGATGTAGTTACTGATGATGTCAATTTCCTAGAACTTAAGCCTGAAATGGTGCAGTCATTATCCAGCAATGTTGTCCCTGATGGTGGTGAATCCTATTCCGTAGATGTTGAAGAGTTACGTGACAACAAGGTATCTGTGGAAGAGACAGGTGGCAGCAATGTTGAAAAGGTAGATACTCTCATGAAAAATAATGCTGGAAAATTGGGTTCTCATGAAAAGTTAAATTTAGACCAAACATCTGTTGATGGTTCCATGGAAGAGGATGTATTGGAGAGTAAACAGATGGATTCTAAATCTAATTGTGATGAAATGAGAGAGAAAGGTGACAAAACTGAAATGCCAACTATGAAAGAGGAGGATATATTGGAGAGTGAACAGATGGATTCTAAGTCTAACTTTGATGAAATGAGAGAAAGAGGTGAGAAAACTGAAATGCCTGTTGTGAACGAGGAAGATTGTGTTGATGTTGTTGGTGATGATAACATAGCCGAGCCTTTAGTTTTTAATCTTGGAAGCAAGAATGAATCTGCTCCGACATCCGTTAAAAGAAAATCTATTGGTAAGCTTCATTACACCTTGATTGTTTTCTACTTCATTGCTTATGATGTTCTCATTTGCTTAGAATACCTTAGGCTCATACATTTTAGGTATTTGCCCTTTAAAAAACCCTTCTGCTTTTGGTTTGTGACAACTGATGTGTCGTTTAAAAACGTGGTCTTTTGTACTTAGACTATGTGAAAGTGATCTTTAAGATAGTAAGAGGTATAATTTATATTCATAGTCTACAATATGTCCTTCCTTTCAGTTGCTTCTAATTTAATCAGAAACTGAGTCGGAGGAAAAGTAACATCAGGAGCTGGGATGAAAGATTTGAATGTCAATTTATGTTTTTTCTTATTTGGGAGGTGAAAATGACTTGTGATATGTGAAACTTGAGCTGATAAATAGTGTAGCAATATATGGCCTTTTTATGTTCTGGAGAACTATTAACTCTATAATTCTTATTGTCGAGGAAGTAACCGTCCCCACTTTATGCTCCTACCTTCTAGCATCATCAAACGTTTAAAGTTTCACCAAAGAGTTCCTTCAAGTTAAGAATTTAGGAGTTATGCTTGGTTGGGTTTTGTGGTGCAAATGGCTGTTATTCTGAACCATGTTTTTGATGTATGTTTTCCCAAATTCACTACTTCCCAAATTAAGGTATTATTACTTTGTAACTACTTTTCTCTAGGTTAAGGGTTTGTTTGAGCCTCCTTTTTTGGATTAATAGATTTTGGAATTGTGATTTATTTTTCTGGAGAATGTGCTATTAAAAAGTTCGAAAATTTTTTGGAGTTACGTGTAAAATTATTTTATTTGGAGAATGTGTGGTAAAAAATGAGTTTGTTGAAAAATGATTTTCTAAAGAATGAGGCTGGGCTAAATAAATTAATATGAAAGAGCACTATACAAAAATTGTCTGGATGACCACACAAGTGAAGCTGTTGCATAGGATTAGGCAGCTTCTCTCTGCTTGAATGCCATTATAGATGATTGCCTTTAACTATTGATGGCTTGGAAACTCCAGTATAGCAGTAACATTGCGATTTCTGAATCTTTTATGGCTCCCCCTGCGGTATGAAAATTATTTAATGAGATCTCCTTACAGATCAGGGAGCAGTTGGAAACAATGACGTTGTAAAGAGGCAGCGAAGGTGGAACTCAGAAGCACTCAAGGTTCCTGAACCGCAAAGTGGTAGTATAGTTGGTTCTATCACACCTAAGGATCCATTTAAGCCTGCTTTCAAGCGTAGCTTCTCTAGATCTGACTCTACAGCCAGTGAAGAAATGCTGAAGGAGCGTGTGGGTAAGTTATCATGTTTCTTCCTGTATCTTGTTTTTAAGAGCATCACTTTATTCTCTGAACAGAATTAATATGTTGTATATTTTGGCAGTTCCACCATCAGCAAAGCCTCACACTACTGCTCTCAGAATTGATAATTTTCTGCGCCCTTTTACTTTGAAAGCGGTTCAAGAACTCCTTGGAAAATGGGGCACAATCATCAATTTCTGGATGGATCACATCAAAACCCATTGCTATGTTTCTGTATGTTTGATTTCCCTCTCTTCTCCCGGGACTCTGTTGTTTTTCATTTTTTTCCTCTCCTTTTGGGAGTCTAAGTTGACATTTAACAGTGCACTAGGTTGAGAAATTATACACGACCATTTTACTGGTTTAAATATTTAACCATTTTACTGGTTTAAATATTTATCAATTTAGGGACTTGTTTCTGAGCTGGTGTTCGTTCATCCACACATATACACATTAGATAACTAGTAATTGCTTTGTGTGTGTAGTATTTTTCTGTTTAATTGTGCACTAGGTTGAGAAATTATATGTGATGACTTTACTGGTTAAAGTATGAAGATTTATCTATTTAGGGACTTGTTTCTGAGCTGGCTTTCATTCATCAACAGCTCTATAGATCCCATAACTAGTATTTGCTTCGTGTATGCAGTATTCTTCTGTTGAAGAAGCTGTAGAAACTCGTAATGCAGTTTACAATCTCCAGTGGCCTTCAAATGGGGGACGCTTGTTGGTAGCCGAGTTTGTTGATCCTCAAGAAGTTAAAACACGGGTTGAGGCGCCTCCCCTTTCTCCTGCAACTCCTTCAGGTGGTGCTCCTCCTAACTTTTCTCCTGTGCAACCCAATGTGCAACCCCCCCAGCCTTCTCCACGCCAACAGGTTCAGAGGCAGCATCCTCCTCCACCTCCTTCACTTCCTCCTCCACCACCGTTGGGTAACCTACTCCCTGCCAGGGAACGCCCACAACTAGAAAGGGAACCCCTGCAAAGGGAACAGCCACTCCCTGCAAGGGAACGACTTAATCTTCCGCCACCACCGCCTCCACTTGCCGAGAAAGTTGACCCCCCAATTGTCACTTTGGATGATCTCTTCAGGAAAACGAAATCGACCCCACGAATCTACTACTTACCATTGTCCGATGAACAAGTTGCAGAAAAGCTCAAGGCACAGGGGAAGAATGCACAGCATTAGAGATTAGGCTGTACTTTTAGCAAAGCTCCTCCTCGATTTAAAATGGATCGGTTAGTATGTAAGATAATGGTTAGAAGTATCATGTAATTGCGTCTTTGCAGGTCTGCAGGTGTTGAATGTAGGATGTTCCAGTTACTCGAGATGCTGTTTGCCAGTTTGAAGGATTACAATCGAGATTCGAGTTGGAAGTTTATGCATTGTGCCTTGGTCAAGTTTTCATTTATGGGTTACATACTGCTCTATGGCACATTCTCTTTCTAGACCAAATTGGCATTACCAATTTTTCTATGCCCCTATCCGCATCCGAAATTCCAATGGATGAGAGACATTTAAGAACATCATCTGGTTTCGTACTTCTGTATTTAAGACCAAGGATCATTATTATTATGGTGCTTAGGGATTTTTTATTTCGTAAGTTGACAATGAAGTTTTTGATGGTATGATATTCTGTCGAATGTGTGTTGCGTGGTTGAATTTTGAGACGGCACAGATGTTTTCTTGTTTACGTCAAATATTGATTTCTTAATTTTTTTTTTCCTCGCTACCGGCGGCAGAAATTCTTGTGGACCGTTATAAATTTCTTAATAGTATATCACGCATACAACATATACATGAACAGTTCATGTATATGTTGTATTTGGCTCTTGGGCAAGTGCAAGTGTACAATCAGTTTTTCACCCTGTACCCTTGAAGGCATAATCTGTGATTTACCTCTCTCACGATACTTCAGAGCAGGGGTGGTGGGGATCCTTAAGGTTAGGGTTTAACCTTTTTTATACATGAACGGTTCATTGTTAATAAAATTGATTATTTAACCTCTAGGCCATAAGGCATGTTTAATGCAATGCAATTGGTAACACAGTTGTGCTACATGTAAATATTGGTTTACAACTTTATATAAACACAATGTGGTGAGATGCGATCTTGTCAGAATTTTTTCGATGAAATAACAAAAATATCTCTATTATTTTTTTGATCCCTTATCTATATGTAAATAATTATATGACATTGTGACTCGATTATATACAAGTAAGATTATTCTTGACAAGATACATGTGGTCTCCAACTTAATTAACTCAGTGGAAATTTGGTCATCGATCTTTCATTATAGTTGTATAATTGGTTCAAATTATTAAATCACGTGGCATGTCTGTCTGTATGAAGTCGTGCTTTGCTTTTAAAATAAAAATAATGCTTAAAAATTTGAATTGAGTCTTGGTTCAATTATTGAAGATCGGTTGTTCAACTATTATTAGAAGTTGAAAAAAGTTATATATAGCCTTGTTCCTCTTGAAATAATGAGGACTAACTTGCTACTTAGAAAATAGATTGTGGACTAATTGTGGAATTTTCATTAAGAAGACGGTCACGTGCCTTTGTTTCCATTTATAAATAAATTTTCCCGGCTGACCTAGGGTTTCATTTCGCTCTCCACCAGTCAGTCTCAGCTAAAACCCTAGCCGTAGCCTCTTCACCATGGTTGCTTCAAAGAAAACTGTAATCTCGCTCTGTCTTTCGTCAGATCTTGATCTGTTTTATAATTTCTGTTTTATTTTCTTCAGATTGAAACTGTCTTGATTCTTTTCTTTTTCTGATTTTCTTTGTTTTGCAGAAGAAGACTCATGAAAGCATCAATAACAGGCTGGCTCTTGTTATGAAGAGTGGAAAATACACCCTTGGTTACAAGACTGTGCTCAAAACTCTCCGTAACTCCAAAGGTTTTTTCATTTTTGAAAAATTGAAATCATACGTTAACAGCTATATTTAGTTTTTGTAAATGTGAATCATGATTTTGGGGAATTAATGGTGACAGGAAAACTGATACTGATATCAAACAATTGTCCACCACTAAGGAAATCTGAGATCGAGTACTATGCCATGCTTTCGAAAGTTGGAGTACACCACTATAATGGAAGTAAGCCTTATTTTTTAAATAAATTTTTGTGGTTTTCTGAATTTTGCTTCATTTTATGCCTTACATTTTTCTTTTAGTAAGTACTGATTTGCCGCTATAATTTTATGTTTGTGTTGATATGCTTGTGGTGGGTTTTTCTTTTTAATTAAAATTAGTTTTAATCTAAGCATACTGCATACCTCGATTTTATATGGTTTTTGAAAAGGTACTTGTTTGGTATAAGTAGACTTTTCTGTAACTCAAGGCACGGTTGAAAGCCTATCATTGTTCTTCCTGATTTCATGCAATTGGATATCGGATCCTTTTCTATCCATACAAGAATGGTTTTATAAAGGAATGTTTGGCAGGAAACGAGCAATAATATCAACTTGGTATTTTAAATAGAAACTTTTTACATTTAGGATATGCACATCTGATACTTGTGTAACTATATGAAATCTGTGTTATGTGGAGGGGTGAAATGGGCAATGTTTCTATTGTGCGTTTGGACGGTGAGCTATGGGCTTGTGATGGTTAGATCTGAACAGCTTTAACAAGTGAGTTAATTAAATGATCAATCAGTAACATTTACCTTTGGTTACCACGTGCTTGCTAACATTTAAACAAGGCTACTCATCCATCACCCATGTCAATTCCGTTAGTCTACATGGATAGAAACTTCCACACGGCATATAGAAATCCTACGTAGCTACCTATAGTATTAAAAATGACGGCTGGACAAAATAAAATTAATTCAGAAGTGTTTTCTCTTAAGATGGGAAGAATTGTTCTTTATCTTTTCCATGTCCATCCAGTTCTAAATTTCCCCTATTTTCACAGCCAAATTGAAATCAATTTCTTCCCCCCCAAATTTATCCCCAAATCAGCTTCTCATCAATTGAATCTGAATCAAGAAACAATCTCTTTACCAAGTTTGTTGAGAAATGAAACCAACCTTTTGCTTACTGGAATTCATCTGTTAACCATCTGTTTTTCATGTCTGTATATGAGTATGATCCTTCCTACATTGCTTTCATTCTTTATGTAAGAGGTCCTAAATTCTATCTCTTTAGTATCTACGTTAAAAATTAAAAAATGGAAGCTATGTCACAAGAGAATGCCCTCAAAAGAAAGCTGACGACTGGAGCAAAATCTTATGAATTCGAAGAAGCTAGTAGGAAAGCTTAAATTGCAGGAGGAAGAAAAATCCCAGGAAAGTAATTTATTTGATAAGAAAATTTGAGATGCAGGGTCACAAACATTGAGTGTCTTGAACTTGCCAAACTTGTTGAACTCTTCAAATATATCCTTATAAAAATGCTCGAAATGCTCTTGGGTCTTCTTGAGATCAATAGACTTACCTGGTTATCGACACCAAGGGTTATCATGTCCTGTCGTGGTACATATTTTTGAGAATGAGTGTGGTGAGGTTGTGGTGCGATGTTGGAGGTGGGAACAGTGGTTGCCACGTCTGCAGGTGCCGATCTTGAAGTAAAAGGGGCATTTAACCCGATCCTTCTCCGTTCTGAAAATGAGGGCCAAGTGCTCTACCATTGTTGCTTATTGATTGAATTGAGTACTGATTATTAGTGAGCTAGCGTTTAATTGGTTGATGGATGAAATGGAGAAAAGGCCGTGTTGAAATTAGGGAAAAATTAGATAAATGAAAACCCCCAATTTTTCAAGGAGTCTATTTTTTCCAAGCTGTCAATTTTTAACACCATTAGTGGCCACTAGGATTTCCATTAGCTAGGTGGATTTTTGTGCCTAGGTAGATGGATGGAATTGATATGGGTGATGGATTAGTAACTTTGTTTAAATGTGAGTAATGGATAACCTTTTAATTCTGGATGAGCAACTACAAAAGGTAAAAGTTAGTGACTGATCGTTTAATTAACAAGTCTATTAAATGTCCAGTTTTCAAGGGAAGTTGAAGTCTGGATTATGACAAACTGGAATTGTTTTGTTCGATGACAATTTCCTTGTACATTTTTGGATGTTTAATGCTATAAATTTCTAATCCTTAGCCAGATCCATTAACTCTTATATATACCCAGTGATGGAAAAAATCATACCAATTTAAGTACTACTTGAGATGATCTCACGCTCAACAATTTGTTTTATTAGAGAACTATGGGTTTAAATCTCTGTCGAATATCTTTTCTTATCCATGGTGTCTTTTCTAAAACATGAATTTGAATTCTATCCAAGCTTAAATTCTCACTAATGTTGAAGCCATCGCTTCGAACATAATTTTTAAAGAATTTGCTGAGAGGATTGTCTACAATGCAGAGTTCTAAATCCATCTTTTACCTTTATTAGGTGGTTTTGACTTTTTACTCCAAAAAGGTGGGCAAATTCACTTAAAAAACTAAAAATTGAAGTCAAATAAGTGTTGGGGATGAGGATGGTTGTATGACTTAATCTAGTGATTTTTTTGAGGAATTGTGAATGGAATGTGAGCAATGTATAGATCTTAAGAACTGTACTTGGAGATGAGAGTAAACTATTTTTTCTTTAGACAAGAATTCACTACTTTTTGTTTTTGCCTTGCTTGGGCTGAAGTGTCTTCGTCTCCTTTCTAGATAATGTCGACTTGGGAACTGCATGTGGCAAATACTTCCGTGTTTCATGCCTAAGCATCGTCGATCCAGGTACCTCAAAGTTATACTGCTTTTGTCTCTTCCCCCCACCCCCCATTATTTATGTTATCCTGACAATAATTTTACTTTCTAATTTAGGTGACTCGGACATCATTAAGTCACTTCCCGGTGAACACTGAGAAGATTCTTTTTATCTTTTCTGTATTGGTCATTTTGGACTTCTTCAAGTGTTTCTTGTTTCTAAATGATAGTAGAGGACTCATCGAGTTTTGAAAATTTAATCTATATTTTAATTTAGTTTTGAAAATTTAATCTATATTTTAATTTTTGGTGTTTTCCTTATTGGCTAACACAGTTTGATTTCTTAACCTGGCTGGTGCCTGTCACAATTCCCATTTCATGATGCAATTGAACGTGATTAGTAGACGTGCAATTTCTTCTTCTTGATGCCTAAGCATGATTTTGCATCTTGTTTGCTATCTAATATTGGAGAGTCGGAATATCAAATGATATTAATATGCCTGGGTTTTGTTTGTTCTTTCAAGTGAATGGCTAACGCGAAAAATGCAAGAATCATATTATCTTTTTGTCGTCTTTTGCGATGCCAATGATTGATACTATAGAAACTCGTGATTTTCGTTTCATGAAGTAGTACCATCATCTACATCGACTTTGGTACTTCTATTTTTTGTTACCAAAAACTTAGTCGCCGTGTGGACAACCTCGTTTGATTTTCATTCTTTGGATATTGGATATAAAAATGAAAAATATGATTGTTATTTATCATATCAAGTCAATGTATTTGACATTCTATCTCTTGTGTGGGTTTTGTAACGACTATATTTTTCATTTTCATTCTTACAAAAATGGGTACCATACGGGGTGGTTTATAAAGAAGAATCGTAAAGTGAATTCCATGAAATGTGTTAATAATGTGTAATAATTATTAATATGTGATAGAAATTAATGATCCACTTTAATTGATTTTATAAATTATTTATAAATTTTTATCCAAATGGAGGTTTATATTTTGTTTTTCCTTCGAGAGAAGTTGAGCCAAAATGAAAATTTTTGGACTAAAATAGTAACGGCATTTTTGTGGAAAAATTGGTACGACCGTTAATTTGCAATTTTATAACAATTTCTTTTTCTTTTGACATTGTAGGTCTAAAAACATCATTTAAAAGGGTCTTCTTTATTTATTGTCTAATAATCTATGAGGAAATCGTCTCCTTTATTTATTGTCTAATAAGGTTTGCTGTTGTAGAGCTCAATAGATACACCTATTTGTTCAACACTGTACTTCAATTCTACCCTTCTAAAGGAACATCACCTCCGATAATTTCATCATTGTCTATAAAGTAGGCATACGACGTACAAAAAGATTACACCATTCTTAATCTCAATGGATAGGGTGTTCTAAATATCCAACAACTGTTCCATCTTTTTTATCCATTAAGCCTACTTTGAATAATGCTATTATTGCCAATCCAATTATCAGGGCTAGCATTTTAGGAAATTTACAGTAGGCTTTTGATGTACTATAAATTTTTTGCTAGCCCAATTATTAGAACAATGTTAAAGGTGTCAATTGACGGTGTTAGGTTATTTTTGAGTAGGATATGTCGAGTTATGATAGTGTTAACTAGTGTATTCCTTTAAAAGCAATATGAATCTTGCTACATGTACACCATGGTGTATACCGCTCCTAGAGTTTTGTGAGGGAGGTAAATCGCCGAACGTGCCCCAACAGGTCAGGGAATAAGAGCTGCAAAAAGGACAACTAATTGATGGTGCTTAGGTTGTTTAGGGCTTGGATACGTCGAGTCATGACAGTAGTTACATGTATGTTACTTTACAAGTAATACATGTGTTACCTTAATATAGATGGTTGTATTATTGGGATTAGAAATATGGTGATAGTGTTTGGGAGCTTGATTCTGATTATTAGAACAATGTTAAAGGTGTCAATTGACGGTGTTAGGTTATTTTTGAGTAGGATATGTCGAGTTATGATAGTGTTAACTAGTGTATTCCTTTAAAAGCAATATGAATCTTGCTACATGTACACCATGGTGTATACTTTAGTTTACACTTTATTATGTGTCATTATCCTATTAGACATTTTAAATTTCAATTATTATTTTCATCCAATTGACATTTGACAACAATGCAAGTGTCAATTAAAGTCTTAAAAATCAGTGTACAAATAGCAAAATTCAAGTAATATACTTGTTATTTTAATGATAATGACGATATTTGTGGGATTTGGAATATGCTTATGTGTTAACCTAAAAGAAACATAGTACCCTAATGCCAATGTAAGTTGAAGATGGTGGTAGTGCATGGGAGCTTGATTTTGATTGTAACGGCATCGATGTTGGTGGTGGAAGGCGTCGAATTGGTTATCCCAAAAGATACAATAAATTATGCTCTCGAACCCCAAGAATTGAACCTAGAAACCCTAGATTAGCGAAAAACCTAAAACCCCTTGATTACAATTAAAAGAACCCACAATCCGATTGATAGAACGCCACAAGAAGTTGAATCTTGATAAATTCCAAGATTGTTCAAGAAGAACAATAAATTGAAAGAAGAAATTTCTCTCTCTATAATATTGATTCAAAAGTTAAAAGTTCAAAAGTTGTTACAATTGAAAGTAATCTCCTATTTGTACTAATAAATAAAAACGTCCAAAACCATCAAATTATGGTAATAATTTGATTTCATAAGAATTCTATCGAAACTAGGAAATTCGGCCAAAAATAGAAAATTCGCCAATTTTTTAGGCTGGTGCGGCCGCATGGTTCAACAGGAATTAGTCTTTTGGTTTTCGGTATGCATGTGTGCGGCCACATGTGGTTTTGCTTGTGCGGCCGCATGGTGTTGTCTTCAGCCTCTGCTTTCATTGCTTGATAACAAATTGATCCAAGTTGATTCGACCTTCGACTCAAACATGAAAGTTGCTCCATTTTGAGTCCCGAACATGGTTCCATCAATGGTTTCTTGAACGAGCAATCCCATCACTTGTTTAACTTGCTTTTCCCTTGATCGCGTCATTGGTCCGCCATCGACTATCAATGGGTCTCGTCTCGCACTTGCCTTCGTCGGGCTCGACTCTTGGATCTTATCATCCCCTCCCTCTTCAAAAGGAATCGTCCTCAAATCTAAACCTGTATCAAATAGAGAGAGGTCAGATACATTAAAAGTAGCCGAAACATTGTACTCACCTGGTAAATCCACTTTGTATGCATTGTCATTGATCCTCTGGATGATTTGAAACGGTCCATCGCCTCGTGGTTGCAATTTTGACTTCCTCTGTTCTGGAAAATACTCTTTTCTGAAATGCACCCAGACCCAATCTCCAAGCTCAAATGTAACGCGTCTTCTTCCTTTATTTGCTTTTGATGCAATCAGCTTTCCTTTCTCTTCGATCTGCATCCTGACCTTTTCATGGAGTGTTTTCACCATCTCGGATTTTCGTTTCCCATCCAAGCTACCTCGTTCATGCACAAGCAAAGGCATTAAATCCATAGGTGTTAGTGGATTAAAACCATAAACCATTTCAAAAGGAGAAAACAAAGTAGTAGAATGTGTAGCTCGATTATATGCAAACTCTATAAATGGTAAACACTCTTCACATGATTTCAGGTTTTTATTGATCATTGTCCTAAGTAGTTGAGTCATAGTCATAGTTCGATTAACTACCTCAGTTTGTCCATTTGTTTGTGGGTGACAAGTTGTAGAAAATAATAACTTAGTTCCTAACTTACTCCACAGAACACTCCAAAAATGACTCAAAAACTTCACGTCCCTATCAGACACTATACTTTTAGGTACTCCATGTAAACATACTATTTCCCTAAAGAATAAGTCTGCAATATTAGTAGCATCATCAGTTTTATGACATAGTATGAAGTGCGCCATCTTACTAAACCTATCGACCACGACAAATATTGAATCCCGACCCCTTTTTGTCCTAGGTAAACCTAACACAAAGTCCATAGATATGTCTACCCAAGGTTCACTAGGTACAGGCAAAGGAGTATACAAACCATGGGGTTGAACCTTAGACTTAACCATTTTACAAGTTATGCACTTTCCACATATTTGTTCTACGTCATGTCGCATTTTAGGCCAATAAAAATGTTCCCCTAACATGTCTAAAGTCTTTTGAACCCCGATATGCTTCCCTTACTAATAATTCACGCAAAGAACAATTAGGAATGCACAACTTATCTTCCCTAAACAAATATCCTTCATGCCTATAGAATTTATCAAATGCACCTTTGTCACATGAAGCATAAATACTAGAAAAATCACAATCAAATTCATACATGCCCTTAATATGTTCGAAACCAAGTAATTTAGTACTTAATGAATTTAAAAGCACGTACCTTCGAGACAACGCATCAGCAACTATATTTTCATTACCTTGTTTGTACTTGATGACGTAGGAAAATGTCTCGATAAACTCCACCCATCTCGCATGTCTTTTGTTCAACTTACCTTGACCTTGCAATTGCTTTAAAGATTCATGATCGTTGTGTATCACGAATTCCTTTGGCCATAAGTAGTGTTGCCAAGTCTCCAATACTCGAACAAGTGAATACAGCTCCTTGTTATATGTCGGATAATTCAATGCTGCCCCACTCAACTTTTCGCTAAAGTAAGCAATAGGTCTCCTTTCCTGCATTAACACTGCTCCTATACCTATTCCTGATGCATCATACTCAATCTCGAATGTTTTATCAAAATTTGGTAATGCCAAAACAGGTGCTTTACATAGCTTATCCTTAATTGTGCCAAATGCAATTTCTTGAGATTCTCCCCAATGGAAACCTACACTCTTCTTTACTATTTTAGTCAACGGTGTGGTTATGGTGCTAAAATCTCTTACAAATCGTCTATAAAAACTAGCCAATCCATGAAAAATCTTAACTTCAGTTATAGTCTTAGGTGTTGGCCATTCTTTTATAGCTTTTATCTTTTCTTCATCGACTTCCACCCCGTTAGCATTAACCACAAATCCTAGGAAAACAACTTTATCCATGCAGAACGTGCACTTTTTGAAATTAGCGTACAGTTGTTCCTTTCACAACACAACAAGCACAAAATTTAAATGTTCTAAATGCTCATCTAGGTTTTTGCTATAGATTAAGATGTCATCAAAATAAACTACAACAAATTTTCCAATAAAAACACGCAAAACATGGTTCATTAAATGCATAAAAGTGCTCGGTGCATTAGTGAGTCCAAACGGCATAACTAACCATTCATACAATCCATACTTAGTCTTAAACGCCATTTTCCATTCATCACCCTCCNNATTTGATGATACCCACTCTTAAGATCAATCTTACTAAAAATGCAAGCACCATACAACTCATCAAGCATATCATCTAGCCTAGGTATTGGGTGACAATACTTTACCGTGATGT